CAAAAATCAACGATTCTAACTATTTTTCAACGTTGATTTAACATCATGTGCTATCTGGGTTGGTGGAAACATGACTTTGAAAAATGTTCAGTTCATCCAGGTTTCTACAACGGAATTCAGTCAGGTTGAGCTCTGGACTTTGACTAGACCTCCTGATTCTTTCATTCTGCCATAGAGTAGCTGCTGTTTGGGTTCATAGGTCAAGCTGCAGCTGTAGAGCACAGCTGACGGTCCAATCTATGACTGCAAGGCCCACAGATGTTTAACCGAGTTAATTTCTGAGTCTGTACTTAATGAATCACATTTTAACATAAAACCATATAATCAACAAAATGAGGAACATTCTCAGCCGTTCACAGCAGAGATGCAGCAAACATGATGTCCTTGTTTGTTTTCCTGGGAACAAACACCTCCAGTCTTCATATCAAAGAAAAACAGCAGCAGCAGCACACCTGGTTCAGACCAAACAACTGGAGGTCGTCACGGCGACGGCAGCAGCTGGTGGCGTGCAGAGGAGGACAAGCGGGCAGGACGGGACCAAAACTGTCATCACTGATAGCTGCTGGCAAAAGCTGCAGCAGAGCTACAGGAACCACACACACACACACATACACACGCACAGCTTTGATTGTTTACCTAATTACTGTAAAATGACAGAACAGTCGCTGCAGAAATGCAGACAGTCACACTGATCATTACCTTGTCAAAGGAGCCATTATCAGTCCAGGTGTGAATCTGTTACCTAACAGCTTCCACAACCTGCAGATGCCGACATGTTCAGAGGATGGAGGTCGAGTCTTTCCCAATGCTGGCATGTGAAGAGGGTAAAGGTTCATCCTGAGAGGAAATATTCACTTTACCCTGAAACTGTCCAGGAGCCAAAGTCAACAAACATGTAATGTGGTTCGCCCTGTCAGAGACGAACAGCGGCAGCGCTCTGCCTCGCCCTGAGGCAGAGCGCACTGAGGAACTCAGCGCGCCAAAAAACCTGAGCAGAGGCGCATTTCAAAAAAAAATTAGAGCCAAAATTAAGAAAAAATGTCATTTAAACTGGTATAAAACCATCAAATACCTGCTAAATGAAAGAAAATAAAACGAAAACAACCCAAAGCTGCATCTACTTCAACCAAATACAGAGTAAAAGGTAACAAAAGGTCATAAGGTCACAAGGTCACAATATCCTAACGTTATCTGATGTAAAACAAGAAGACCACCAATAAAAGACCACAAACTAAAGACATGAAGATCAGTCAGGATAGTCAAAATGCCGCAATAAATAAAAATCAATTGTCAGCTCAACCAAACTGGAAGAATAAGATGCCAGAAGTCAAATTATGATTCCACCTCAAACCAGTTTGTCACTCAGCATGCCTCTCCCAATACGTCTGAGTTAATTAGAGTGGAAGGAATGTGTTTGACGCAAAGCAGGGAGATCCTCCAGAACCTGACACCAGCAGCAGGACGTCGTCATGACGATTCCTCCAAATGAATTGAGGAATCATTCGGAGGAATCCTGATGCGTTCGATGTTCTGGACGTCAGCGAACGCATCCGATCAGATTCTCATCGGTTAAAGATTCTCAGCTCAGCAAACATTTATCAAACGTGTCTTTATTCCTCTTTCAGTATGTACATATTGCACAGAGGGAGTCAGTTTGAACAATATAAATATACTGGAATAGCTTTATTTCAATGAACTGATGACCTTTGAACCCTAATGGTTCACTGGTCATCAATGGTTCAGCTCATGGTCCATCGTCCAAAACAAGTCAAACTCTGATAAAATGTCCCAGGTTTGTTTCCAGAGCAGACGGTCCATCAGAAACCAGTAAAGCCACTGGTTCCAGTTGCTCTGGAAGGCAGCAGAGAGGAGATAAGCTGGTGTCAACATTTCATGAGCTGTTTAAGGCGCAAGGTGGAAGATTCAGAGTCTGTGGGTCCGAGAGAGAGAAGAGAAACAGGCGAACTGAACGAGTTCATCCCAATGGTGGAGACTGTTCTGTGCTGCGAATGGTTTGAACTTTGACATCAAGTTTCTTTTGTCTTCAAGACGTCTACTGTTGGTCATCAGAGGGAACCAACATGGCGTACGGCGACCACTTCCTGTCCACAGGCCGTAGGGGAAACCACTTCCTGTCCACAGGCCGTAGGGGAAACCACTTCCTGTCCACAGGCTGCAGAAGAGAGACAAAACAAAACACTGGAGATGAAAATGTTGGACTAATTTGTGTACAAAAAAATGGAGTAAATTTCTGCCATAAAACTGAAATTTTGACATGAATTTCCAAAATTCTTTGGGAAAAACTCAGATTTTTCTAAAAAATTTTCAACTCTGGAAACTAAAAATGCCGGACCAATCCTCACATAGTGACATCAAAATGGTTGAGAATCAGTATTAACGTTGATGTTTCGCTTATCTAATTATTAATAATTATAATAAATAATTGATTATTACTTAAATTATTACTGAAATCTAAATTGTTTTGTTTAATCAAGTATTTCTGGAATCAGGAGCTGAACTCAGTCTAACAAATTCAGATGAAACAGTGAATGATCACTGAGGCTGATCTAGAATCAAATGTACACATTTATTATAAAATAGCCAAACTTCACCACTGAATTATTCTGTGAATGTTTTCTTTCTTTTACGATTGGATTGCAATATAACTCTAGGAATATTTACTGAATAATAAAATGGGACTCAAATCTGAACTGTGACAGAATGAAAATTAACTTCAAAACCAATTAAACAGGAAAACAAAGGGAATCAGAAGCATAACTGCAGCTTATCGTGTCGTAAAGCAGAACAACGCAGGAGGATCAAAGCTAAAGGAGCCGATATCCGGAAAGCTTTTCATCAGGGTCGGATCCGCCCTTCGCTTCGGACAAGAAATCATAAAATTTAGCCACGAGTTTCGGCTGAACTCAACCAGACCAGAAACGAGGTTCTGGCCCAGTTTGTACACAAAGAGGGAGGAGAAGAAGGTGAGAAGGAGCAGAAGGAATGATGGGAAATGCAGTTCATGTCGTTTGCTGGTGGAATTGGAGATTCTGGTTCTCAGAAGCAGAAAATGTTCAACTTTTGGAACTCAGAAATTTGCAAGATTTTTCTTTGTTTGGAGTTTTTTGGTGGATATTACCAGCAGCTAAAAACTACTCAGAAAGGTATTCATCTTTTTTTCTATCTAACTACACTGGGATAATAAGTGGCTGTAAATTTCCTCCTTCTTTCAACAGACATGATGATGATTGAAGGATGAAGTCGTAACTTTTCTGTTTTTCTCACTGCTGGGATTTTTCCACATGCTGGCTTTAAGTTTATTAATTTATTTCTCTTTTTTTGCAGCTCATTTTCCTTCTCATTAACGTGATGCTGGATATGAATCCTCTGTTCTTTGATTTGATCAAACTCTGTATTTGTTTTAGTGATATCTTTAAATCAAACTGTAGAGAAATCTTTTGGTTTGGTCAACAAACAGAAACATTTTGTTCTGAGGATGAACTGAATGTTGTTGCTCTCTGCAGTTTTGAAGCTGGTTGTAAAGTCATTTTGTGGCTGATTTCCAGCCTTTATCCTCTCAGGCGCTTGTTGCACGCTTCACAAAGTCTCCATTGTGCAGAAGACGTTCTTCTTCTGTGGTCTTGTGGTCTGGCTGGATGGGCGGCTCGCCTGCAGCGCTGCAGACATGTCAGATAAAGATGCTAATCCCGTGTTTGAGTCGATGTTTGCTCGGACAGAAACCAAACTTTATGCGTGAACTAAAAGCTTTTAGGAAAACAGAAGTGTTCTTAGCCCTAAATCTCCTAACATTACTATTCAGGATTAACTAAAATTCCACATTTATCCTTTGGAGCGATGCAGCACCTGAGATGATCTGCAGCATGGTTGGAGTCAGGAGGATTGTGGGTGCATGTTGGCGCTCAGCTTACCATCTCGCGGTCTGTTTATCTCTCGGCACAGCGAGGGCTCTTGGCCAGTTGAGTCAGCAGACGAGCACATCTTTTATAAACTGCAGCAGAAGGAAACAACAAACGTGTTTATGAGGCTGAAGAGGAGCTGCTAAAAGGAGACACCACCTGCAGCATCACGAGGTTTACCTTGCCTGGCCGCCCGGCGCGGAGCGGCCGCCTGCAGCCACCAGGCCCGACTCCATCAGGACCGGAATAACTCACCGAGTGGCAACGAGGCTGCAGCCATTAATCTAACAATACTTTACATCTCAGTACATGCAGGGCATTCATTTGCTTTAATTTAAAACATCCCATAATAGTTCAGGACAGGCAACAACTCAATTAATCCCATGATTAATTAAAACAAGCCCAATAATTTCCAGTGGCTGGATTGATCATTTTTCTCTTTCTACCAAAAACTGGATGATAAAACTGAAGGCTTGGTCTCAACAAGCTGTTTGTTTATTTTTTTATGAATAATTTTGTTTACAGAGACTTTTTAATTCATGTTATTCATTCTTTCTGTTGTTTCGTTTATTTATTTTGGATATTTAAAATGACTTCCAGTTGCACCATTAAATGTTCCTATGAATTTAAAGTCTATTTATCTTCTTACCGTTATATTTTACTGCAAAAACACAAAATCTTAGACCAGAAATACCAAGTATTTCTGGTCTGGTTTCTAGTGCAAATATCTTGGTTTACTTGAAATGAGACAAAACTAACTTACAAGTAACTTTTCAGAAAGAAATAATAATTTGTTTTCAAACAATAATTTCTTTATATTGAGAAAGTTCTAGTTCCATTGGAAGATTATTGGGAAAATGTCTTGTTATAAGTGAAATAATCTCATATTTCTTGCTGAAAAGTTACTTGTATGTTAGTTTTGTCTTATTTCAAGTGAACTAGAAATTAAACCAAAAACATTTGGTAAGATTTGTGTTTTTGCAGTGTAACTTTAAAATGGTCCCAAAAACAAAAAAAACAAACAAACAAAAAAAAAAACAACCCGACAATATTGTCGTTTATCATAATAACTTCTGGGACAATTAATCGTCCAGCAAAATGTGTTACCATGACAGCACTAGTTCAGGATATGAAAAATAAAATAAAGGAGCTGTTTTTGTATTCTCAAACTCATCAATAAAAGCTATTTAAAATATATACTGCTCAAAAAAATAAAGGGAACATTTCACTTTAATTTTGTGTGTGGCTCCAAGTCCAGGCCTCCATTGGTTAATAACTTTGATTTCCATTGATGATTTTTGTGTGATTTTGTTGTCAGCACATTCAACTTTGTACAGAACAAAGTATTCAATGAGAATATTTCATTCATTCAGATCTAGGATGTGTTATTTGAGTGTTCCCTTTATTTTTTTGAGCAGTGTACTTTTTAAATGTTTTCTTTGACAGAGATCCCAGACTCACAAGGATTGTCATGCCTGAATCAGACGTGTGTAAATCCTTCCCGGCTGTAAATCATGTCGTTCTGTCAGGTCGGCTCTGTTAGCTGTTACCTGCATGCAACATTAAGTTCCATCTGTTGATGCACAAAGACACCAGCAGCTTGTGGTTAAGAAAACTCAACTTAAGTAAACAATTCCCACTAGAGACTGACAGGCATCAGCCAATAAACTGTCAGGGTTATGTAAACAACCACCGGACAAGTTTGAACCTTCCCAGCTCCTGTAACTTTCACCTCTAAGAGCAGAAAACCGAGCTGCTCACACCCCCACACACACAGGTTCACATTTGTTCGTTGTGGTGACACTGAAAAATATAACACACTCCAGGGATTCGCCGTGATGTTACAGAGGATTCATGTAATTATGAGACAATATATTGAAGGTGGACGTTTGTCCCTTCATGTCTTCATCGTACATGTGATAAATGAAAGTGGGACATTCTGGTCAGAAGGAGCCATTTTGGTTTGAATTATTGTTGTAATTTGCTCCACTGATTGGAAAAGATTTTAAACCCACAAAATTTAAATCTTTTTTCTGCAAACTGAACTTCCTTCTTCACCAAAACGACACAAAATGAAGGCGTCGGATTTTAGCTGGTAGTTGTCTTTGAGGCATTTCCTGCTAGTGCTAGGCTAACACCCTTGTTTTGGTTATTTTTACCCAGAATGCTCTGCGCTGTAGTCCACTTCCTCCTTTTGGACCAGTCTCTAGTTCACTTGGTGTTCACATATAAATTCAAACTGAACCTGAATTCACTTCAACCGAACCCAAAACGAGGTTTAATCCAACTGGAGTCAGATTAAAACGGACTGGAGTCAGACTAAAGCGGACTAAATGATGCAGCTCTAAAAATAAAACAATCAGGTCAGATATTACAATTTTTTTTTTCAGATATTATTAAAAACACTTCTTTGGGTTTAGAAATGAAAATCTCATGGTTGGATATGGATGATAAACTCAGTTACCGCTGAATTTACTTCACTAACTTTAAATATTCAAAATGTATTTATTGATGTGAGACACAACAAGCTACCTAATAAAGTTTGCGTCGTAAACGTTTCCTCTAATTTTGGCTTTCGCTGTCATTAGTCTCGCTCTACAACTGATTTAAAACATGACTAAAATGTGAAAAGATAGTTCTATGTGAAACTCCAGCAAACATTAAAGTTTCTACTGTCCAGTTTCCGTGGGTTGAGGCATTAAACAGTAAAAACATTCAGACTGAAATCAATCAGCGGCTGTTTGCACTGCAGAGCGTCTTCATGTACAGACTGAATGATAACACTGAGTCCCAGAGGCGCATGGAGGGAACATATTTGTGTCTGAGCGTTTCTCTCCAACACAAACATCAAACTGCATGCATGGTTTAAAATCAGAAGAGTTGCAGCTGTTGCGACACGATGGCGGTGTAATACGGTGTGACTGTGTGTTAAAACATGCCTTATCTTGCTCTTTATCTGGGAATCCTGCAGGAACACGAATCACTAGCAAATATTTAGCAACCAACCGAGGTTTAGATGAAAATGCAGATTGAATCTTTAGGTCGGGTCACGGATGATGAGTTCATGGTTCAGGTTCTGAGAAAAGGAAATCTAGTTATTTAGTGCAGCTTCCTGCAGCGCTTTGATAAAAACTGTTAGAGATTCAACCGACTAACAACTTTACAGCTAATAGCTCGTTTTAGAAGTCATAATAATAATATCTGTAGTTTTAGCTGAATGTTGTCAGGGGAAATGATCAAATGAGTGAAGTTTCCCATATTTCAAATCTAACAAAATTGGCGTCAAAAATTTGAGCGGTAAAAATGTAATTTGTGTCCCTAAAAATATTTTTAAAGATATTAAAAAATTGTTTGATTTTGTGAATGTGAGCAGGAGGGATGGTTAAACTTTTATTAATATCTTTAAATGATAACGGCACAAGCGAAACGTTGACACCAATTGAATAAGGTGGTGAGGAAACTTCACATCATTCTTTATTCAGAGGGTTTATTTCAGCTGGAGGAGGAAAGCGGCCGTGGTACTTACAGGCAGGAACCGTGCAGTCCCTGGTGTTGTTGTAGAGTCGGTGGAACTGTTTCCGGCACTGAGGTTTGAAGTAAAGAGGACCTGAGGGCAGAAAGGCTCCCATCAGTCAGGCTTGTTCTAAAACCTCTGAACTCTGAGACTTTAAACCACAACAAACCCAGCTAGCAGGGAGCTGCTACATGTGATCAATGTAGATAATAGATCTGATAGAATATTCAATATAAGGGAATATTCACTGAACTCTGATCCAGAACTGCATGGCATTCTGGGAGATGTGAAGAAAAAGGTTTTTCCGCTCAACCTCTCACGATGAGCTGAAAGTGAGCGGGAACAACTAACTCACTCATTCTTTGGTCACCTAGCAACATCTAACTCACTCACTCGTTACCTAGCAACAACCTGCTGAGTAACTGGTGCAGCAGTAGTTTCAGTTTTCTCCTCATAACTGATTAAACTAAAACACAACGGCGTGGAGGGAAAACTGTGGGTCAAACAGGAAATGTCACACCACCAGTCTATTTCAGGTATTTAAACTAAATAACTAATCAATAATCATCAATAATGTTTGGGGCTGCGGTGGAGCAGCCAGGGAGAAAAGAGAAGCAGCTCCATCGGCGCCCGAGGCGAAGCGAGGCGGGTGATCAGGCGCAGTGCAGCGCATGACGGGAGGGAGGAGGGACGTCAGGGCAGGTGGCCGGTTCCAATATGACCGGGAGAAATGCTGCTTATGTTTACTAATTAAAATAAATTACTAAGTATTATTAATCTGTAGCCACACTCTGTGACTGAAGCGATAAAAATACTGCAGAAAGTTGAGGGATAAAGTAATTTGTTTGGGTTGAGGCAGCAGAAAGTTTCATCATCAGGAGGAAATCCTTAAAACACGTCCTGTGTGAGTTCACAGCTTCGGGGAGTAAAACGCATCATTTCTCTGAAACAGAGTGTTGCTAGGCAACGTTCCTACCTGTTAGGTGTGTGATGATCTTCTCCTTGTGCTTCGGGTCACTGAGGCGACCTTCTGGGAAACAAACAGATGAATTTGTTTTAACATTTTAAACACATTAATCCTGAATCTGACAGAGTGGCTTCAGTCATGAAGATCGTCATGGTAACACAAGCAGCTGCTGGTTGTGAAATCCTCCAGAGTTCAGAGTCAAAAATTCAAATTGTTAAAGATTTACTGAAACATAAAGCCTTCGTTCTGAAATAAAGAGCTTACAATAGAACGGCCGTACTGTAAAGCAAACTTAAAGAAAAATGTGGGAGGAAAGTTAAAGTGACAGGAATCGTCCTGAAGGGAACCTTGTGATGCGGCGGCTGTTTCCACGAGGCTCCGCTCAGCCCGGCGCCGCGGGTCGGCCCAGTCCACGACCTGCACCAGGTCACGACCCCGGGCAGCTGAACGAGCTGAGCGGCCATCAGAACCCTGGACAACCTCACACCCTGAACCCCAGCTGTTCGCCAATAATCAATACACGATAATCACTGATTAAACCCAATAAAGAGCAGAATTAAAGTAGATTTTCATCTATTTGTAGAATATGGATATAGATGTGTTCACACTTTGGAAAAGAACAGAAGAAGAATCAAATCTCTAAGATGGAAGGAAACTGGTCTGAATGTAGTAGCGCCCCCTGCTGGGGAAAGAAATAATGATGGTGAGGAAAAAATTGGTAAATATTGTTTTGAGTTAATTGCCAAGCCTGTAATCAATTAATTGCAATAACATTTTAATCTAAAACTATCTCAACACATTAGCAATATTTCAATTCCGAAATCATTTTTATGCAAAATTATTAAATAAATAAACATATGAGTTCAACAAAAACTAATATTTATTGTTTTTAATTAGTTATTTAGGTTCTTCAGTCATCAGAAATGAGAAATTTAGAAATGTGGACGCTGACATATAGCGTTAGCATCATGTCTATCAATGAGATGCTATTTTAGCCTTTAGTTTAGCAGATAGGCTAACTCCTTTTAGCACAACAGCAGTCTTTTCCAGCGTCCAATCAAAAGTTTGAAACAGAAATTAACCCTCAGTTGACCAAGAAAAGACACTTTGTCCTCCGTTGATGTTGTTTGAGGTTGTAGCTTGTGTGTCGTGCTTACAGGCGTACCAGAAACACTCAAATACAAAGGTTCCGGCTGGAACAGTGTAATTATTTAATCTAAATTAACGAGTTAAAGTCTTGAACACCCTAAATTTTTACTGGCCTGGTTTGCATACACCAAAAAAAAAAAAAAAAAAAAAAAAAAAAATTTTTAAATTTTAAAAAAAACTAAAAAAC